CAAGCTTATAAACTGACTAAAGCGGAGAATCCATCACCTGCACTTGACTTTGATGGATTGGCTCACTAGGCGATGCGTGATGTTGCTAGTCTGCTGTCTCTGTAGAGACAACTCAAGCAGTGTGGGGTGCTGGTGGGAATCGCGTGTGACTCTGTTCCCATGTCCTAGGCTTCGCCCGCTGTGCTACTTGCTGTTCTCCAAAGATGCTGGGCTTGTCTGCTTTTCTGTTTCCCCTTGAGCCGTTTCCACCTGGGCCTTTCACCTCTGCTAGGGCTGCGCCACCTTCTCCCCTCCCCACCTCCACTTTTGCTGAAATCCACTCCTCCCGAAAAGGCCGTTCCCGTGTCCCCTTCCCCACCCTTTCCTGGGCCCTGGGCCGGCAGGGTTCCCTCGGTGGCTTATGGAGACCAGGGGCATCAATGCTGTGACTTCCACCCGAGCCACTGGAGAGGAGCCTCCACTCAGCCTCCAACACCCTGAGCGCTGTGTAAACTCCTGTCAGTTGGATCCCACCGCTGAAGTACACCTTCCTCCAGGGAGGGAACCTGGCTCAGGGCCTCATGATGTGTTCAGTGGTTGCTCGTGATCCTTGCGGCCTCTGGGAAGGTGCTCAAAGAGGGGTGGGCGTGGGTTTGGATGAGCGGCTCCGGCTGATGGAAGCAGGAGCATGTTCAGTCCTTCCAACCTTCTCAGGCGAGGCCTTGAGATGGGCAAGGACCACTTCCTGGGGCGCAGCAGACCAGAGCACCGGGCACCCAGCACAACCTTGACTCCTAACCAGCAATGACTGGGTGGCCAACTAAGCTGGTTTTCAATCTGTTTCAAAATAAAAGTCAGCAAGCTGGCATTCATGATGGCTTGATTCTAACTGAAGCCATTGGTTAAAAAGCCCCATTTTGATCCCCTAGGTGCGGTTTTCTAAAAGCCATGGGGTGGTTTTGAATCTAAAGCATTATGGTTCCATCTAGGGTCTCAAACTCGCCACCTGTAGAAGAGCTCATTGGTCTGAGACCAACAGTGCTCATGGACTTAAACTGCATCAAATGTTTAAGTCCTTAGAAGCCTTGATAAGGCACAGATGGCTGCGCCTACCCCAGGCTTTCTGACTTGCTAGGTGCGCTCACCCCAGGGTTCCCAAGAATGTGCATTCTAACAAGTTCTCTCCCATGATGCTGAGGCTGCTGGTCTGGGGGCCCCACTTTGAGAGCCTCCATTCTTAAATAGCACTATGAGATAGGGCTCGTCTCAGGTCCAGTTTCCAAGAAGCAGAGCCCGAGGCAGGGATGGGGGGGACATGCTGGAGAGAGGTGCTCTTCAGAAAGAACCACGAGAGAGTTAGGGAGGCCTGATGGGAAGAGGCTGTGGTCTCGGGGACCGTCTGGGCTTGGTGTGTGCTCTGCAGTGTGAACGACAGAGCTGCCCTGGCCTTTGTACCCTGAGTCACCCCTGGCTGTGGCCTGGCCTGGAACAGGTGCTGGCTCCCACAGAGCCAGGCTGGGAGCCACTGACGATTACTCAGTGTCAAAAGGAGCATGAGGGCTGTCTCCAGGGTGGTTATGAGGAATATGGGGTGACGAATATCAAGAACTTAGCGCAGTGCCTGGCATGGGGTGAAGACAATCCCTGCCCCTTCCCACCTGACCACACAACTGTCACCACTGACAGAGGCCCCCACCATCGGGCGACAGAACCCACACCCCACCCAATGGCATTGCTGAGCAAGACCAACCTGGTGGGCATTTGGAGCAGGTTAGCAAGAACAAGACAGGAAGGTTGGCATTTTCCAGCAGTTGGGATGCATCATTTCCCTGGGTGGGGAAGGGAGAAGGTCTCCAGCGCAGAAAAAGGCAAAGCAGGACAGGTTGCACCTGGCCTTGGTTTCTAGAAGAGATCCTAGCGAGGACCGACAATTTAAGTAACTTGCCCAAATTACTTAAATTGCCCAAATGGTTCATGGGCGGAGATGGGCTTGAGTCAGGATCTTTCTTTCCCTAAAACCTCTGTTTCCAACCACTCTGGGAATTCATCTCCTGATGTCTTTGGAGGTCAGTGATAGGCACCCCCATGCATGGCTTTAGTCATACTTCAATTTCACTATAAGATAGACTCTTGACTCTAAGTTACAACTTTACTGGTTTTGTGAATTCTCTCACACATTAAAAAATAAGTTTTTTAATGTTGCAATTATGCGGTTCAGTAGTTCTTGATTCCCTTCTTTCAATAAATGTTGCATTGTTAATAGTTTCTCTTGTTGCCATATAAACTTCATATTCATCATGTTAAAGGCCCTACATTGCATCCAATGCATCTCCCTCTACCTCTACCTCCTCAGCTAGTCTGTGATGGGTGTGATAATGGTCTTCCGAAATATGCCCACGTCTTAATCTCCAGAACCTAGGGACATGTTATCTTACATGACAGAAGGGATTTAGCAAATGTGATGAAGTTAAGAACCTTGAGATGGGAAGGTTATCCAGATTATCTGGTGACCCAATCTAATCACAGGGGTCCTTTGCAGATGGAGATAGTAAGGTCAGAGAGAGGAGGTGTGACGATGAAAGCAGGGGTTGGATGATGTGCGGCCACTGTGGGGCCACGAGCAAGGGAATGCAGGTGCCTCTGGAAGCTGGAAAAGGCCACGAGATGGCTTTCCCTCTAGAGCAGTGGTTCTCAACCTTTCACAGGGGTCGCCTAAGACCATCGGAAAACACACATTTTCGATGGTCTTAGGAGCAGAGACACCGCTCCTCTATCCGTCTCCAGGCCCACATGCAGATACGCCCATATACGAGTAACCAGCGACCCCTGTGAAAGGGTCATTCGACCCCCAAAGGGGTCGCGACCCACAGGTTGAGAACCGCTGCTCTAGAAGCTCCAAAAGGAGCCCAGCCCAGCCCACACCTTGATTTTGGCCCAGGGGGACCCATGTTGGGCGTCTGACCTCCAGAACTGTAAGATGATATATTTGCGTTGTTTCAATCACTATATTTGGGTCATGTGATCCAGCAGCCACAGGACACCTGATACACAGCCCCTGCTTGTTGATCATGGCAGTCTCCCCACTTCCTGCTAGAGAAGATGGCGCTTCCCGGTAGCTAATGTTTGTTGCATGTTGTTATGTTCCAGGCGTTGTGCTAAGGGCTAGTTGGGTCGCTTAATCTTTATCAGGAACTCTGAAGTAGGCACTGTTTTTATCTCTCCTTCACAGTGAGAAACCAGAGGATGCTGAGCAAACTCACCCAAAGCCACACAGTAGCTAGAGGTGTGGGCACTCTGGGGTCTGAGCCCAGTGACCACTGATGCCATGATAATAGTGACCATCTGGGTTTGAGTCAGGGGTGGGGGCTGCCTTGGTCTTGCTCATGAACAGTCATAACTGGTGCCATTTATCAAGCATGAATCCCACACCCCACCCCAGATCGTCCCACGCATTACCCTCCGTGCCTCAGTGGCAAGGCTGGACGAGAGGTGGTTTTGTCTGCATTTTATGGATGAAGAAACTCAGAGAGGGTGAGGGCTCATTCACTAAGGTGAGCTTGGGGCCAAGCAGGGATGTAGACCCAGGCCCAGCAGCCCCAAATCCTGTGCTGACTCCAGAGTTCTTAACCACAGCGCCATGGGGCCAGGAGACGCCACCTCCATCTGCTTTCTTGTCAGTTCATCATCAGACATCGGCTGTGCAGAAACCCAGGAGACCTTTCAGGTCTCATATTTGTGTTTCATGGAAAGTAATCTGTGCACATCACCTTGGATGGCTGTCTCTGTCACTCAATAGCTAGTATAGGTGAAGTCACAGCCACATGTCTGAGTTGGAGCTGACTGGGCCCTGTTGTCACCCAAGAACACGATAAGTCATTGACAGGATTTGGACAGGTCAATAATGGTGGCCTTTGAATTTCCCTTGAGCCATGTCCTGACCTCTATGCAAACCTTTCAAACTTGAAAATACTATACCATATCATTGTCCCCATAAAATGCTTTAAATTACATCTAAATTTAAAAAAAGGTTTTAGAAAACTGCTTTCTCAAATCCCTTCTGTGTCGTCAGCAGCATTAGCAGTTGGGGAGCCATTCTTTGTACACTTTTGAAAAATCATTTCCCCCCAGAAGATCTGCATTGTGGAGGCAAAATTGTCACCCTGAGCTGGGAGACCAGGCCACACAGACCCTTATCTTTGTTCCACTCCCTGAATTTGATTCACATTTCTGCAACAAGACACCCAGGCAGAGGCCATAATACTGCCAGGTTGCCTTCAGAGCACTTGCCCCTCCATCCAGGGATCCATGGGACATTGGGCAGGTGTGTGGATGAGGAGATGCCGTAGAGTAGTCCACAGATTTGTCCCTGGGTATCAAGCTCGCTGATGATGGAGCCAGGACTGGAACCCAGGTCCTCTGAGTCTCAGTCCACTGCTGTGCACACTGGACCTGGTGATATTGTCGGCTCTCATTGCGGCAGATGTTTCTGTGGAGGGCTGTCCGCAGTGTCTCATTTATCCTCACATTAGCATCACGGGATTATTCTCAGATATTCCAAATTGGTTTTAATGTCAGTACCTGAGTCACTCATCACTCCACCAAGCATGTGGTGTTAAGAGGCTGGATGAAAGCTGGTCTTGTGTATCAGCCATTCTTAACTGCAGTGGGGCTGGGAGCTCCATAGATGGGATTCTGTCTTCTGCTGGGTGTGAACTCAGCAGAAGACACGGGTTCATGTGAGAAGGCTAAACTTATTCAATTATTACTGAGTCTGGGAACATAAACAACTGTATGAAAGAAGGAATATTTCAGCTAATAAACTAAAGAATAATCAGCGCAGAGACCCTAAATGGAATGAATGGAGAAATGTACAAGGTGTTATCATGGGTCAGAATATACTGGATTCATTATTGGCTAGTATAATACATGAAGAGGTGACGTTAAATTTTATAATAGAATTATACACTCCATCTTTTCTTTTCATATACTAAGAAGTAGCAATATTATCTCCTTTTCCCTAGGATTACGGGACAATCAGTACAGCACAAACGATCAAATTGCCCTTAAAAGTCTCCAGTCTGAAGTTACAGAGAAGAAACCTGACTTCGCCAAGGTAACATATGTTTCTACCTTCTGGAATAGTCAGCAAAATGCAGCTAACCATAAAACCATGTGATCACTGGCCTACTTATGATGTGTTCACATTTTATTTTGCTTAGTCAAAAAATTGAATTAATGCAGCAGAAATCTAACCATCAATGACTAAGACATGTTACATGAAAGTGTGCAGCGTCTATGCAATTATTCTTTTATAATCTTCGCCAACAGTCTGTAAATTTGCAGTGTCAAAGCAGAGTAGAGTGATGGAATCTCAGTTTTAAACCCAAATTAATCTGCTGGAGAGAGAGAGAGGGAATGATGCCATATAGCATTTTGAAGGCGGAGAAGACATCATTTGAAATCTAACAGCTAGTACAGGTTGCTATAACCACAAAAAGTGTCAGTGGCCGCAAATCAGGAAGAGAATTAAAGGTCATATTTATAAAATGAAATGTTTCTGATTCAAGAGAACAGAGAACTCTGTACACAGTGGTTAACGCTGCCAGTGTATCACACGCAGGCTCTGTGTAATTGCCTCATTTCATCCTTCCCCACAGCCCGGGAAGGAGGTGTTGTCATTATACCTATTTTGCAGGCAAGAGAACTAAATCAAGCATCTTTAGTAGTTGACTAGCCCCAAATCTCGCAGCTTGTAAGCTGTCTGGCTCCAGAGCTTCGGTTTTTAGCTTGCTCTCAAGGGCTGTCCTAGAGGAGGCTCATTCCAATGAACAGAACTTAAAACACGGACTTTTCCTGCCTGAAAGGATTGTCGGAGACATCACGATTTACAAGATATCTATTGCCTTTCACAAGTGAATAAATAGTCTGCCGCCAACTTTTGTAATTCCGAGAGTGAAATTATAAGAATTGATCTCTCACAACAGATTCAAGTAGCAAGGGTATCTGTAAAACATTTTTTCCCCCTCGAAATGCCTGCCTTAGGTATGATCCTTTGATTTAGCTCTGTGTTTAATAAAACCCGACATTTCCCTCTGAGTCCCCGGGACTGAAATCCCACACGATGGAGAAAGGTTGTTATTCTGGGTCCTGAGATTGTCATCAATATTTAAAGCCCTTTCTATGCGGAAGCGCCAAGCTCGCCATCTGAAGATGTAAAGATGCATGTCTGTAATTAATTTGTTCCCTGGCGGCAGGAGTGGGAACCCTGGGTTGCAGGGAGGGAAGTGAGTAGTGGATCGTGACAAACCTTCGCTGGGAAGAGATAGAAACCAGTTAAGAAGAGGAGGGTAAGGCCCAGGTCAGTGACCACTCTGTTTAGGAAAGATACCAACTGAAGCGCTTTCCTGACTCTTTCCCTACTGAGCTGGCCAACTTCAGGCTTTTCCTGTTGATGTTAATGGTCAGTTTGGTCATTAATGATCTAGATCTGGGGTTCATGTGTCTGGGTCCCTATAACACACACACACACACGTGGTCATCATCTGCGACCCCATTGATTAACTCCCAGAAGTCACAGCTTCTCCACGCCTGCTTTGGAATGACCTGGGTCACCTAATCTGATCATGTCAGCACAGTGACCTTCAAATCTCCCTTCTCACCTTGAGCTGTTGACGCCTGTCCCCGTGTGTGTGCTGTACGGCTGCTGCAAATGATGAGACACACCAAATGGAGGCCCTCCTTTGTACCTGCCGTAAATCCCACCTCTCCATGAGACTGATCCCTGTTCCTTTCAAAACCCATCAAAGCTGACGAAAGGATAGGCGGGCACTTCTTCAGCCAAGTGATTATTTAAAAGAAATGAAATATGGAACTGAGTGTGCTTTTTTTAAAAAAAAAATCTAAATTTTCCTTACAACAAAAGTAATGGCAACTCCATGTAGACACCTAGGAGAAGGCAGAAACGTATCTATTTCCCTTATTTTTTCATGTGTTATTTTTACATGTGACTGTATCATATCTCAACGTTTATAGCTTTCTTTTATTATGTAATGCTCTATCGCAGACATGTTGGCGTGTCATTTAAATTTTTTGTCTTCTTTATTTGTAATTTCTGCAGAATATGATGCAGTTGTATGGGCCATGATTTACCCGCCCAATCGCCTTTCAATACACATTTCGATTCTTGCCAGCTTTTCACTGTTCTACATTGCAGTGCGTTGAATCCTTTGGTTTCTAGTGAATTCATGGAAAGACAAAAGTTTCAGGGTGGATAGGGTGGAAAGTTCCAATTTTTCCATTTGTTTTGAAACCATCTTTTCCTTTTGCTACAAACCAGAGTGAACTCATACAAATGAAAACACTTTGCAGTCAGGATGAGACACCACTGTGTTGACAGATTACCTAGTGGTGCTGACGGGGGGAAGCATGCTTGCAGCTAACGTGGAGGTAGCTGTAGAACATATCTGTGGGGAGACGGGGCCAAAGAACCCATCTGGGAAATAGAGTTTTAAGCTGCAGGGTGGCTGTAGAAAAGGAAGACATTGTCCCGTGGAGAAAACTATAGATTCCAAAGCAATCGGTGGGATTAGACGCTAGTCCTTTGGAGAAATAAATCGCTACAGGAATAGAAGCACCTCACTCCAGTGGCCAGGGCCTGATTTTTCTGATCATTTGCTGCCTATCTCGTTCTTACTTCAGTTAGCGAAATGGCGCCCTTCTTAGTAATATGCCTTAAGGCATAAATATAAAGTTAAAAACAAGTCAATAAAATGTATAAAACTGCAAAGGCAGTTACCAGCACTACAAAATTATGTTTGAAACATTAAAAAAAATCAATATCTTAAGCAGAATTTATGAAAAAGAAAATGTACAAATGTGAGTGTTGTACGGAGCTGGTCAGGAAATGGGTGATTTACTAGCGTAACAAGATGCAGAGTCCATCTCTTCGTTTAACCTCTCTCTGACCTTGAACGGTCTACTTTAAATACAAGATGATTTTCTTTCTTTCAAACCAAATCTTACATCAGTTAATTTTATTTTAGATAAAAGGTATCTTTTTTCAAAGCCATGTTCAGTTAACCCGGTATAAAGAACAGATGGAGTGACACACTGAAATAGCCTAATTGGGGAAGATATTTGATGTAGGAGATGTGATTACTTTTTGAGGAAAATTTGCCCTGTTTTAAAAATAGGCCAACTTAGGAATATCAAACAGCCCCCCTGTCTCATTGCTTTCTTGGTTTTACAGCCCCCCAAAGAAGAACTGGACACAAAGGGATGTGTTATAGTCTGTTATGGACTGAATTGTGTCCTACCCCCCCCCGCAATTTATTGGGTTGTCGGAAAAGTCATGATGTATTTTTTCTATGTTTTTCATTGCAAAAATGCGTCATGACTTTTCCAACAACCCAATATGTGTTGAAGTCCTAACCCCCAGGACCTCAGAATGCAACTGTCTTTGAAGACAGGTCTTTTAAAAGGTGATTAAGGTTATATGAGGTCCTACAGGAGGGTCCTGACCCAATATGACTGCTGTCCTTAGAAGAAAAGGAGATTAGGACACAGACAAGCATGGAGACCACGGGGAGAAGACAGTCATCTATAAGCCAAGAGAAGACGACCCAGGAGGAACGGACCCTGCCGACACCTTGGTCTCGGCCGGACTTCCAGCCTCCAGAACTGTGAGAAAATCTACTTCTGTTGCTTGAGTCGCCCAGGCTGTGGTACTTTGTTATGACATCCTGAGCCAACTGACACTGAGTTTTAAGAGGTCGGACCTTATCTTTAATTACTGAATGGGTCCCGATGAGAAAATAGGATTTGATAAAGAGAACTTTCTGGATGAGAGTATGATGTGTATTGGACAGCAAAGAAAGCAGTGTTTCCTTTTCAGCTTCTCTCATTTATTGGTCAGGGCTTTTGTCAAAGCTGAGTCTAAACACCTGAAAAAACAGGAGGATTTCAGCTCATAACCCCTGTCATGGTAATTTGATTACCTGCTTGATGTTGTCCCCAGCCTGTTAACTCCAGGAGGCCAGGAAGTTTCCTCAGCACCCCACACAGAGCCTGGCACATAGTAGGTGCTCAATAACTATTTGTCTGATGAGGGAATAAATGATTTGACCATACTGTGTGTCATGAGTAATGGAATTTATGTCGAAAAAGGTTACATTCATTCTACATTCACATTAACAAAATTTCAATGTTGGGTATATAATGGGTTATTTCCATTTTAAACAATTCAAATAAACTCAAATGCGTTTGTTATAAATTCCATTGAAATATAGTATAACTTCGATATAAATACTCCTTCATTCTTCCATAAGCTTGACTATATCAGATATTCACTGATTTCTGCTGAATCATAGGAAAAGTCAGACCCGGGAGTTATACCACATGTTTATACTTTGGGAGGTACTTTCACATCCATCATCAGTTTTGATCTCCAAACCTTCCTGTGAGGTAGAAAAGGTAAATAGATTTTTTCTTTGGAACTGGGCCTCCGTCAGCATTTATCCCCAGGTCAGTGTTACCCTGACATGCTCAGCAATTCTGGAGGGGTCTCTTCTGTCCTCGTTCTGGGCTGAGATGACATTCACTCACTCCTAGAAACACAACCCTTGTTTCTGGTGCCCGTCGTTCGTACCAAGACCAAGGCTGTCATGGAATCCTGACCCAGAAGGAAGGGTGGGGTACCCTCTTGATGTCAGAGACCAGCCGTACAAGGAAGCCTAGGATCTCCACAGGAATTACTGTTTTCTCCTTGATCTACAGCTGTGGAAACTAAGGCTCCTCCAGGGTCCTGTGGCCAGTCTGGGAGCTCAGGCTCAGGATAGACTGCAGGAAGTCCAAGTGCCAGCCCGGCGTCCTTCCCCCCTTATCTGTGCAGATGCGTCCCCAGCAGCTGCTTAAATGTGTTAATTCTGGGCCTCATCACATGCATCCTGATTCACACCAGGTCCAGGGAGGGAGCGGTCCAGAAATCTGCATTTTAAAACCAGCGCCCAAGGTGTTTATGCAGGTGGTCACTGGCCCCAACTTTGGGAAATAATGTTCTACAAAATAAAACCAGTCCTGCACAGTTTCCAAGCTGGATTTGTGTTATCTTCAAAGACCAGCCTCAGAAGGTATCCTCAACATCACCTGCACACTTGGACCACTGGAAGCTTTAAAAACTGATGCCTGAGCCCCACCCCAAGGGTCCTGATGTAATTGTTCAGGGACGAGGCTGAACACGGGGGCTTTACAAGCTCCCAGGTGACTCATGTGCCCCCTGGACTGAGAACCACGAAAGGCCTTCGAGCAGAGCCTGGCTCACATCAGCCATCTGGAAAAAGGTAGCCAGTGATATTTTGACTTTTTTAAAAGATGAAGTAAATTCTAAGATGACTCTCCTATCTGTTTCTTCTCCTTCACCTATCTCTTATCATATCTGAATTTGCAAACATGAGTTGATGGAGATGATGGAAATTGCCATGAAACACAATTTGAAAAAAAAGGGAGAAACCAAGAAAGATAAGCCAACCCCGTGTCTCCCAGTAGGACCGATGAGCCTTGGCTGATTGCTGAGATTACACACGGGGGCCTCCCATGAAAAGGCCAATGGAGGAGAGCATGACATTCGTGGAGTAAATGGATATTAATCCTGCTCTGAAGACAAGAAACATGCCACTGTGCTTTCTTCTTGTGTCTCAAGGAAACAGCACACTTTGCTCTCATCAAATGCTGGTCTCGAACAGACCAGAAGTCCCATGACGCCGTTCCCCTTTCTCAAAGGGTGCTCCCCGGATCACCTACCTCAGAATCACGGGGACGTTGGTTAAAATGCAGATGCCTGGGCCCCACCCACAGAACCACAGAATCAGAACTTCTGGAGCCTGGGAAAGCTGCCATTCCAGGTGACCGTCAGGCACCTCGGAGCTAGAGACCTGCTGCCCAAGTGCCGAGCACCACCTTTGCCTTCGGGCCCGGAAGTGAAGGCCGGAGGCAGTGGGGTCTGAAGCATTCACCAGTGCTGGAGTCCGCTCTGTCTGGGCAGCCTTCTGCCACGCTCCGCCCATGCCCCTGAGGAAAGCAAGGAGAGGACAGAGGATACTTCTTCCTGGTCTCGGCCTGATGACAGTCTTTATTAAAAATCCCAGCACATTGTTTTGGACACACTAGTGATCTACTGTTAGGACATAACGACCTGCTGGTGAGGAAGCCTGAAACCCCTTGATCGTGATATGGACGGAAGCCCACGTTTCTGCAGCTGAGCATCGAAAGGCGGAGAACTATCTTGGTCCTAACCCCTCCCCACCATTCTGATAAGTGATTGTCGTGGTCACCACATCAGTCTGGCCAGCTGTCAGCCATGAAGGTTGATTGCTGTTGTTTCCCTCTCTGGGATTTGACCCCACGAGGGCAAGCCTGGGGAACCACACTGGCTTCCTGTCTACACCGGCAGAGGTGCGGGGGGTTCCACTGAGGAGTTGCAGACCCAGGCAGGGAGGGGCTCCTGGTCCTCAGTCTGCTGTTTCCATGGAGAAGCACTGACTCACCTCCACATAAGCGTGCACCCCAATCCCCGCCCTCCCCAGTGAGGTTGTGAGCCTGTATTGGGTGCTCCTGGGCCTGGTGGTGGTGATTATGGAAATTTGATGATCCCCATCACACATAGACCATTAAATAAACTAAGAATAGACACCCGTCAGAGAAAAACCAATTCCCCGGGCAGGGGAATGTTTCCAGGATGTCTAATCGGTGCACAAGCAGACTGGGTTTCCTGCCCTTCGGAACTAACGCTCAGAGGTGGTGTCGGATGTGCAGCCAAAGCCTTGGGCGGGAGTGTCAGGGTCAGCGTCCTCTGGGCTCTTGAAAGGGAGTTTATTGTCTGCGTGACAATGGACTACTTGAATAATTGCCATCTTTTTCCATTCGCAGGAGACACTGGCATCACAGAACACAAAAATGATTTCATCCATAGTCATTTCACAGCTGATTGATGAGAATAAATCAAAAGAAAATGGGGCTGCCTTGCCTGTGCCATGTGCACTGGCTCAGCCTCACGCATGTCCCATGAGGCGCTCTCTGGCTAATCGCAGCGGAGTCACCATTGATAGGGCCTTCGCCTTCCTTCCCAGCAGATCAGGAATTCAGACGCCGCCGGTGAGGGCAGGAGGACCTGAGGCAGAGCCTCCCTCCAGAGAGAAGCCATGCAGCCGCCCCCAAAAGGGGTTTGCCTCCATCACCATCACAGCCAGGCGTGTGGGCCCCCCGACCAGCACCCTGGTGTGGGGGGCTGTGCGAGACCCGCTTTGCACCAAGTGCAGGACTCAAGGCACTCTGCTCGGGGACCCCTCCGCTCTGGCCGGTGGTGCTGATCAATGTCGGCACAGTGGACCTTTCGCGTGCACGGAATTCTCCAGAAACAGCTCTGTGATGAGACTGACGTTCCCTGAGGCCCACGCGCGGCTGTGTGACGGACACAAGTACTGGGTCGCCGATGTGGACGACAGACAGAGCAGGCTTTCCCCAGGCGCCCCGCAGCCAGGAAAGAGCCCACTGGTGTTCAGTTCCTGCGTCCATCTCAGGGTGTCTCAGCAGTGTCCAAACTCCATCTACTATCTAGACAGGTCCCTCTCTGTCCCCATCGAGCAACCTCCGCTGGCGGGCCCGAAAATGCACAGATCCGTCCTGTCGCTCAACCTAAATTGCAGTTCACACAGATTGACACCAGATGGAGTAGATGGCACAGCTAACAGAGTGCCGATGAGCAGCGCCCTCAAGCAGGAGCTCCTGGAGAAAAGCCGGAGCCCCCTGGGTCCGCGCTGGAACCCCAGCATGCAAGACAGTTTCTTCAAGGGGAACCCGTCGTTGGGGCGGCTGCATTTGGGGACCGGCTCATGTCCTTGGAGTGGCTCCCCTCCATTGGAACATACAGAATTCGCAGGTGTGGGGACACACCAGGTCACTGTGCAGAAGGAGGAGGACCATGCAACTCGATGTCACGCCAGCCTTCGCGCCAAGCAGCTGTCCATTCACATCCCTGGCTGGAGTTACACGGCAGGTGAGTGACCGCCCACCCTGGGAGGGGGCCGCCCAGCGCAGACACTCCCCTGTCCTCCAGGTCCTCTGTAAATGCCCTGCCAGGGCGGGTAGCGAGTTTCCTGTCCATAACGTGTTCCAGGAAGTAGCTGTCAATAGGGTTGCTTTATCTGCTCCACTCCAAATTGCTTAATCACGAGCGAGGTATGGATGTCTGGACGGGATAGGTTTTCTCGCATGACACTTTGATGGATTATGAGAAACTTCCCCTCAAGGCTGTGTTGCCAGCAATACTTCCAGACCACATGTAACGGGGGAATCGATAGCCCCCACATCAAGTTAGTTTAGGCGGGCGACCTTCCAAACAGGGTGAGCAGAACACAGAGCTGTCCCATCCCCAGAGGGTTTGTCTGGCCCCAGCGTCTGCATATCCAGAGCCACCCAGAGCGCTGCCCTTTTCACTTTTCAGATAGTTGGTATTTATGGATTGGCCTGTGGAACCTAGACTCCACAGCTCTATAATGGAGTATACGTGTGTGAGTGTGTGTGAGTGTGTGTGTGTGTGTGTGTGTGTGTGTGTGTGTGAGAATTATGGGACATTTTCAAAATGAGGCAAACTGGGGACTCTTTACATCAAACAGCAGAAGCTGCCGTTTTCTGTTTCCTTGGTTGTATTTTCTGGTGCAGCTTGGCCAGAACCTCTCGCTGTTTTGGCCACTGCCAAGGCAGGCAGGATTCCCCAGGTCAGTTGGCCCTGGGTGCCCCTCACCTCTCCTGAGAGATCAGGGAAGGGAAAGCAGACCTTAGCCAGAGTCCAGGGTTCTTTCTTTCTCTGCACAAACTTCCAATTTTCTGCTTTACTTTCTGCAAGAGACTCTGGTTTATGAATTAATGACTTTTCACTTGGGGAGACTATTTAAAGATAATAGTAAAATTGAAAAGGCAGCATATGCATAATAATTTTACAGTGCAATTTTTGTCCATTAAAGCTTTATTAATTAATAAAAATGACAGTAAAATATTCTCAAGCTATCATGTGCATAGAAATGTTGAAGGGTGTAATTAATTGAACAAGCATTTGTGTATTGAATGCTCAGAGATTTTTAAGGCACTTTGACACAGCTTTCAGATTGATGAGACAGTCGAAATGCCTGAGGCTTACAGATGTATTATTGCAAGGAAGAAAATGGAAGCAGCCTTCAGTGGTGCAAAGATGGGCCTCACCTTAGTGTTTAAAGAACTTGCTGAAGCCAGCCACTTCCTCTTCCTTGATGAAGGTTCCGGAAATAGGACCTACATTGTAAGCTCATCCTTGTCTTTATGCTGCATCTCGTGGTGTGAAATGATAATGTGCATTTATGGCACTTGCACCAAAGGCTTTTTAAAAATTCCTAGAGCCAGGACTCACCCATTCATCTCAGAAAAGCGGGGCATGAGCAGAGATAACCCCCAACTTATTCTTGGCTTTGGTGTAGAGGAGATTTTTTACTGTGACTGTCCACTCCTGTACCTGAGTTTCTTAGGCAAAGAGTGGGAGTGAGTTCTGCTTCACACAGGCTGACTTCCCTCAGAAGAGCATTTGAGTGGCTCTAAATCACATGGCCTCATGCTGCCATTTGAGGAAAGAGGTATTCGCAGAGCCCCAATCACCTTTTTTAGAGTTGCTGATCTATTATTTTCGGGTGCCGTGAATGTGGCCAGGCTGCGCTAACTCTCAGAGACTGTTTCCTCATTGGGTTAGCTGGAGAAAGGGGTGGATTTGGTGTTCTTGAAGGTCCCCTCCAGCGCGAAGAACTTTCCGCTCTATTTGCCTGACATGAAATCTGTGAGAGAAAGAGGCTCTGTGTGACTCTGGGCCCTTCATCCTGAAGTTCAAAGCCACTGAGCCTTGGGTTCACCATCAGATGCATATGCCTCAGATGTGTACAAATGCACCCTCACACACAGTCTCACACACACACACACCCCTCTACTTTCCTGTTCCCGCCCTCAGAAACTAATTTGCAATGGAATGCGTTTATTCCCAGATGACAAGAAAGCACTTCTTGTCCACACTGTAGAATTCTTGCCTGAAATTTACAAGCACAACTACCGCCGTCTGTCCTGGTGTAATTCACACAACACGTCAAGGGTGAGCTCGCTGACCTTCAGTCCTGACAAAGTGTTTTAGCCTTAACACAGGGCTTTCCGACAGTGGCGATGCCCATTAAAACTCCAAGGAATGGTTTGTGCCCTTCTGTCAGAAACCGGAGTCTTGTCTGAGGCGTCCTGACAGCCCCCTGTGGTTGCACATGCCCTTAGTGGTCCTCGGACTTCATAGTCACTGAACCTGATCCTTTTTACCTGAAGGATTCCAAAACAGCACATGAGCAGCGTCTCTCTAGCCGGCTTTACTGACGGACATTGAGCTGCAAGTAGGGCGCAGCAGGGGAGATTGTGCAAAGGAGGCAAGGCGACCTTGGTTCTAGTTCAAGGTCATGAGACAGAAAGTCCTGCAAGTTGTATTCTTCAGTGAGCCCCCAGGACACACGTCCAGAAAGATTACTAAGATTAGGGGAAACGGGATGCTGACAAATGCTGTGTCTGCCGGGATGTAGCATTCTCAGGGACCCAGGGTTCCTGTTGTCCTTTCAGGGGCTGAGGATTTAGGAACTGCTCATCCCCTCAGTCCCTGTACATGCCCACTGTTAGTCAGCATCCTGCCAGCGCCTGCCAGGTGGACATTGTACAAACCCCTGCACCTGTAAGAAAGAGTTTCATCATCATTACTGCCACTGCTGTCGCCATCACTGTGGTCGTGTCATCATCACCGTGTCAATAACCATAGCATACGCTGTGGGAATCCTTGAGGCCAAGCCGCAGGCTACATCCATTGTATCCATTGCTTTGAATCATTCAAACCAGGCGTCGGCAAACTTTTTGAGATGGAAGAGCCAATCCTGTCCCTCAAAGTTTTGCGAGACCTATAAAACAAATGAAATCACCATTATGTGAATAATACCCTTTAAAAATTTTATAAATGAAACTATGGTAGTTTTATTTTCATTTTCAATTTTACTTCAGAGCCACATGTTCATACCCAAAGAGTTGCATGTGGCTCAAGAACCACAGTTTGCCAACCCCTGCTTCAAACCATTCTGTAAAGAGAGTCTCATTATCCCTATTCTGTAGGTGAGACAAACGGGGCTTGAAGATCAGATGCTTTGCCCAATCCATGTGGCCATTAAGTGTCAGAGCTGAGAACAGTCCCGTGTATCTGGTTCCTGCTGTGCCCTAAGCAGAGCCGTTTGGCTGTGGGGGACTCCCCATTTGCATGGTAGCTATCAAAGGCGATGTTTGAAGCCCGCTCCTGGACGTGAGGAGTAGCACCAGTATTTGGTGGCCAGTTGCCCTGGTAGAATCTACAATATTAGGAGAGCGAGCTCACAGCATTTCTAACTAAATGTAATGAGCCATGTCATCTGATACAGTTAAAACTTATTAGCTCAGAAACCCTTCCCAGCCTGAAACCCCACTCTGTGTGGTGTGGTGTGCTGTGGCATACACAATATTCATCCCAGTGGTTCTCTCCTCGCGGGGTAGTCTATGCCTAAAACAGTATTGACTCTGATGCATTACTTGGAGCCAATTTCCTTTTGCATCCTTTGCCTGGAACTGAAGCTTTTTCCCTGTTCCAAGCCATCCTACTTGGATGTTGTCAGATGATTTTGGATAAGAGGCTGATGAGTACACTTTTTGCCCACATCTATATGCCCCAAACACTGATGTTCTATGGTGGGTCCTCTGTCTTGGAATGCCCCAGTCAGGCCACAGGTTTCGGGTGGCATTGGTCTCAGAAGTCTTTGGTGGAGTTTAGTATCACCAGTGCTCAAAGACATGAATGACCGGACAGGAAGGGTTCCAAAGGGATTTTCCTGTCCGAACAGCAGATGCGGGCTGTGGCTACTAGGCTTCTGACACTAGACCCTCACCCATGAGTAGTGAGTGAGGTTTATTCCGTGAAGAAAGTACAGATACCACTCCAGGGAAGACTATATCACAGACGGGATGTGTCTGTCAAGCCTACCAGAGAAGCCTGCATTTGACTCAGCTCCCACAGGACTATTTACTAGAAGGGCCGGAAGACATTCGAGGAGTCCTTGTTTTACAAATGTGATTGGTCTTTAATGACCCAGAATGGGAAGCTTTTTTGGAGGGGGTAAAGTGCCAGGTAGCAATTAAATTAGGGTTTGGGGCCAGATGGTCTCCATAGTAATTACTCAACTCTGCTGTTGTAGAACGAAAGCAGCTACAGACAATGCATAAATGAGTGAGTGTGGCTATGTTCCAATAAAACTTTACTTATAAAAACAGGCAGTGGACCAGATGGGTCCTGCGGGCTGTAATTTGCTGACTCTGAATCATCCATCCTCCAAGACAAATTGGATCCTGTTTGCCAGTGCTGTACGTTGGATGCTCTGGAAAGTCGACTCTGAGATGGAGACTAACGGGCATTTATTGGGGGTGGTCTTGGGAATGATGGCACCCGTGGATGAGAGGGGAGGAGAAGGAAGCAGCACCGGGCAGGGGAAGAGTTCTCCTGTGCTGCAGGGTTAATGAAGGCCTTGGGAATTCTAAATGTGGGATGTCGCCTCAAAGTTATTCTGGGTTACGGAAAGGGGGCTGGACCTTTGTACCCTTGGCAAGGGGATGTGACCTTGGGCGAGCCAGCGCTCTTTGGCCGGCCAGCTGCCATACTTGTGGTGCACTGTCGAGGCCTGTGTTCCTGCAGGAGTCCCAGCAGCTGGGGGAATGTACTTTTCATTCCTGAGGGGGGCCCGAGTGCCCTCAGTTAAATACCGTTTTCACTTTGTGATCTTATAATTCTCTAAAACGAGCCAAGGCCCTCGCCAGGCTGGACCTGGGGCCGTGGGGTGGAGGGCTGGGGTATGGACCTTGGCACGTGTATGAAGAGGAGAGTGGGGAATCCTGCTCTCTCACCCTTGGTGTTTATTCATCCACTCAACACCAAATATTGGACAG